TGTGTTGTCTGATAGTTTTCGGTGGTTAGGCGGAGCAAAAGTGCAGAAGTCCTCTAACCCTTATTGGCAGGGCCGGGTTTGCCATCCCCCAGGCACGAGTCAGAGAAGACCTAGACCAGATTGGGAATTTCCCATGGCTTCATCCCCCAGCAACCCGCCTCTGGCAGTGGAGAGCATCCCTCGTGTCTTTGCCAGCTGGAAGCCTGTTGAGCCTTCGTCGGCCAACAGCCTTTGAAGTAATTGAACAATTCTGCCTCCAAAGCATTTTTCTCTGAGCCAAATTATAGGCATTAGGATAGCAGCAGCGTTGGCTTTGCCAGCCAGGACTAAAATTAGGTTGCGTGATTTATTTTACAGTTTGTTTGGGTGCTGACAAATAGTGCCAGATCTCTACACAGATTCCCTGAGCTGTGCTTATGTGGGGGAGAAAAGCTGGGGGAGAGAAAAGGCGCGAGGGCAGAGGTGTGTCACCTTTACTTCGTCGCCGCTGTGCTTTTTTTTTTGACATGCAGATGCCGCCCTGCCTAGGAAGAGGGAGGACATTCTGCAGATTCAATAGCTATGAAATTTCTTTTGAAATAAAAACACCTTTAAAGTTCTCTTCCGCGAAAGAAAACTGTCTTGTCTCTTACAGCAAAACGTAAGCTGAGAAGGTGTGCGATTTCAGCCTGTAAAATACATCAAGAGAGTAAAGATGGGGAAAGGGAGAGGAGCTGAGGGGTCGTGGATATGAAATAGGGCCCACTTGAATTTTTAGACTGGAAGTTGGAAGTCCTCTGATTGCTGAATGTCCTGAAAAATCATGTCATTGGGAGCAGCAGGAGACAAAAACTATGCCTTTAGGAGTTGGAGCTTGATAATTTTTTCAGGCATTTTGTAATGAGGTTGCTGGTTGGAAAAGACAACGTTCATTGACCCGAGTGGACCTTTCCCAGCTTGCAGTTTTCTCAAAGCAAGTGATTTTTCTGTGTGCTTTTCTATAAACATATTTGCAGTATTTCAAAATAATTCAACATCTCTTTGAAATTCATGACTCCTTGATGATGAGGTTCAATTTTCTGTATTGTTTGCCTTAACGAGAAAAGCAATAAAGAGCAAAATTGAAAGTATCTTTTAGGACTGAAGTTCTCCCATGAAGAAGCCTTAATTTTGGTGAGGTGTCTGTAGCTAAATGACAACAAAAAGCATTTGGGTATGTGTGTGTACAAGCTACCTGAAAGGAGGCTGTAGCGAGGTGGGTGTCGGTCTCTTCTCCCAGGTAAGGGGCAATAGGACGAGGGGAAATGGCCTCAAGTTGCGCCAGGGCAGGTTTAGATTGGACATTAGGAAAAATTTCTTCACCAAAATGGTTGTCAAGCATTGGAACGGGCTGCCCAGGGAAGTGGTTGAGTCCTCATCCCTGGAGGTATTTAAAAGACAGGTAGGTGTGGTGCTTAGGGACATGGTTTAGTGGTGGGATGGCAGGGTTAGGGTAATGGTTGGACTTGATGATCTTAAGGGTCTTTTCCAACCTAAACGATTCTATGGTTCTATGTGTAGTTAAGAACAGCATCATTGTTTCACGCTAGCTTTCTCCAGCCTGAGGTTGGATCATACAACAGAGAAAGGGCCGCTGAATCACCCAAGGCAAGCGCTGGGCCATTCCCATCCATGGCAGCGGGCTGGTGGGGTGCCCCCTTCACCTCTGCTCCAGGCAATCCAGGAGGGAGACCAGAGCTACCGGGCATCACGCACCTGCTTCTGCTGCTCTGGGGAGGGTTTTGAAAACTCATTTTCCCTTCATAAACTCTTGTATTTCTCCCCTAACGTTACACAAATGGAGTGAATGGGGGGGGTGGAAACAGGACTTGAGGTCATGGCACAGAGAAAACAGCAACATGTCCAGAGGAGAGCCACAAAGCTGGTGAGGGGTCTGGAGCACAAGTCTGATGAGGAGTGGCTGAGGGAACCGGGGTTGTTTAGCCTGGAGAAGAGGAGGCTGAGGGGAGACCTGATCGCCCTCTATAAATACCTGACAGGAGGCTGTAGTGAGGTGGGGGTCGGTCACTTCTCCCTGGTAACAGATGATAGGACGAGGGGGCATGGTTTGAAGCTGCGCCAGGGCAGGTTTAGGCTAGACATTAGGAAAAACTTCTTCCCCGAAAGGGTTGTCAGGCTCTGGAATGGGCTGCCCAGGGAGGTGGTAGAGTCCTCATCCCTGGAGGTGTTTAAAAGAAGGACAGATGAGGTGCTTAGGGACATGGTTTAGTGGTGGGATGGCAGGGTTAGGTTAACGGTTGGACTTGATGATCTTAAAG